TGAGATGCAGTAAGTCTCCAACAGAGGGCGGACAGTTGTAAAATTTGTTTCGAAGTAAAGAGAAAATTTGCAGTAATAATTTCAAAAAACAATTCAGTCTTGATGTTTTGATTTGAAATTTCATTCAAAATATTAATGGACTAAAAATATTTTTCAGTGAATAATTTTATTTTTCAAATCAATCTTTTGATTTGATATGTATGTCAAGCACCTCAATTCTAATTTTTCGATTATTTGAAATATAAACTGAAGTAACTGAAGTTTTTAGGTGTACAATTTACAATAAAGTTTTCATTGTTGAAATCCATATTCTGGTTTGCTTTCAAATAATCGAATTAGATTTTAAAATGTATTTTCCGTTTCGTTCAAAACTTTTTTCTGTAGTAAATCACGGGTAATTGTAAATATTTCATCTGTAGTACAAAATTTCGCTAACTCTTATAATTCTTAAAATATGTTTTTTATTTTGATTTTCTTTTGAACAACCTATCGAGGAGGTTACCTACGTATAGCGGCATCTACCCGCGAATAGCTCAAGCAATAACTGATAGTTACGTATAGCGCCACCTGCCCGCAAACAGATCAAGCAATAATTGATAGTTACGTACAGCGCCATCTGCCCGCGAATAGATCAAGAAATATCACTGAGGTTACGTACAGCGCTATCTGCCCGCGAATAGATCAAGCAATAATGCTGATAATTCTGTCAATACAGATGCCAAGCTTGGGAGTTACAAACAAACATACATACATACAGGTGAAGCTAATATAAAGCGTGTAAAATGGGATATTTTCTTATCATTAACCAGTTTTCAAAGAAAACTTCTTACAACAAATTTGGAAAATAAAGAGTTACTAACCTGAACAGTTGTTGCGTAACTACATCATTGAATCTGACTGTTTTCTTCAGGCTACCAGAAATTTCCCCATCTTCAGGTATAACCGAGTCTAGGCTAGCATGACAATTTTCAAAAGAAGAGCAGACAAAATCATCCAAACTAGACTCGGATATGCTTCGACTAACTGTGAATCGATTGGATGATAGTCTCTTCAGAATTCCTTTATTTTTGCTTGGGCTAAAGCTACCATAGCACAGCTCATCTCCACTGGACTCATAGGAATCACCGAGAATATCAATAGCCCTGGTTTTTTTATCACATTTAGTGTCGTAAAAACTGCTTTGTGAGTTTGGATGATTCACGGGTTCAGGTTCTACCGAAGGTGTTTCTGAATGAGTTTCCAACTGTTTATTACTCTTTTCCTCAGTTTCTTCTCCTAACAGTATAGTATTGATGATTTGGGGCTCCTCCACATGTTTTTCTGTTAAATTATCTTCATTCACCCCAAAAAAATATTCAGTTAATGTTTCACAGTGAGAAACAGGTACTTGAAGTATAACGTTGTTGTCCCATACTTCCACTGTGGTATTTTCAGCATCAATTTTGGAACTGGGCAATTTTACACAAAAAGCATAGTGACTGGGATAAAAACTAGAACCTATACTGGTGAATTTTGTATGAACTATGGTGCCATTCTCACCGAATATTTTGGAAACCGAATTTTCATCTACATTTTTTACATTCAGTGTAAACGCTATAATATTTTCAAAAACATGGCATGTAAATTCAGGTATATTGTAATGCAAATTTTCATCAAGAAATTTTGTCCTAAATTCGCTAGATTTTTCAACACAGTTTTCACTTGAAGGCAATTCAGTAACTAACTTTTTATCACTGGTCTCATCATCAGATTCCGGGATTCCCGGGGAACATTGATCACTTTCAACACCACTATCACTAAAGTCGAAACAGGTTCGGGATTGCCTAACAGGTAGAGTTATTACTAACTTTCTCAAATCCTTATCAAACTTGGCATTGCCAGATGCTTCATTGACATGATAGGGTAATGTTAAATTCAATTTGTACTTTGCTGGGGATTCACTAACAACTTGCACTGTTTTTTCTGTAACATCTAATGTTATATCAGCAGAAGATTTGAGCAGAGGCAAATTTATTTCCACTATCAACTCTTTTGGTATAACTGCATTTAATTTTGCTTCCCTGTTTTCTGTAAATTCTTGAATGTCAACATGACTCCTGTGTTTTATGGTATAATTTGGTGTGGTATAGTTGGATTTTTCATCCAAGCTATTTCTTCTATATACTTTTTTACACTTTTTTGGGCTAATTTTATCAGATTCCACTTTTTCAAAAATTTTATCATAAAACTCTTTTTCTTCTGGAGTTTGTTTGGGTTTGTTTTCTGATGGAGATCTAATAACACTTGCATGAGGTATTCCCTTGTAATTGAGTTTGGGAAATTTCAAATTTTTCTTATCCAATTGAAAATCAAAATTTGTTTCTATAGCTTCCAAGGCAGTGTTATTGACCATATCACGAAATGTTTTATTTTTAGATGCTAAATGAAGAGTATCTGAATGAAACACTATGTCAAAAACCCGACAAGGAACTTTCTTATTATCTAAATCTTCTCGTGGAGGTGATAATGAATGAGGTAGGGACCACGTCAATCCTTTCTCTCCTTCTCTGATTGTCGGTGAAGACGTAGGTTTTTTTATATGATCATTCGCACAAATATTGATAAAAGCTTTTTGGTTACCATTAACACTGGTTTTTATTACATAACCTGGTCGGGGATGAATAAAAGTAATATCGTTACCACGTTCTTTCTCCAGTTGAGTGATCTCCTGCTCATAAAGTATTTTGTTTTTTGGATCCTGTAGTTCTTCAACATAGTCTGTCAGTAGTTTTCTGAATTCAGGCTTTTTTAATGCTTCCCCAATACAATTAACTTCCTCACTTGTAAGATCAAGTTCTTTCAGTTTATTGAACGAATTATCCATACTTGCTTCAATTGGAAGTAAGAGATAAAAATGTAAACATGGAACGTAGCAACGAACAGTGCATTAACAAAAACAAACAATCTGTCTAAAATTTGTGTCACATACAGTGTTACCAATGGAAATTGCGCAACTTGTAAAACTTGGAAAAAAATATTTCCTTTTCACTGGCCAATTAATGAAAATCCTCGCACAGCTTACTAGCTTACACCGATCACTGGCCTTATAAAACTGCGATGTTGAGTGATACATGTATATTTTATCGAATAACAGATAAAATAAAATAACTAAAGAATAAATCTATGCCTATCAGTCCTATCACAATTTGAAAATGTTTACTATGAATAAAAAAATCAATAATTATAAGGTAATTCTTCATGCTGCATATATTATATTATACCTATCAAAATATACAGAAGTATTTTGCACTCACTAGTAAATTTTCACAAAATTATAAAAATTAAAAATGTATCCTTCAAACTAATAGAAACATTAATCAGAAACTTCGTTTAGGAAAATAAACAACATTAATTTCCTGGACAGGGGTTCATTTAAAGACTTTCCACTTCGAATATTCCAAAATCTGAAGATTCAAGAAAAAATCTCCAAATCACATAAAACATTGAAGTAAGCTTTCTAGCAAAAATTTTATCGCTCCCTTTTACGCTCTGTCTTGAAAATTTTGAATGTTAAGAGATATGTGTGGTAACTGAAAGTATACCTCAAACCACCAAATCATAACACTCATATCATCTGACACTTCTGAGTACTGAATTATGTCAGCCATTTCATCAAAAGTTACAACCAGTCCAGCAATGCATGGTACAGAGTGGGCCAAAATGAACACTACTAACGGAAAACTCCTGTTCACAAACCATATAGATGAAAACTGATGGCTGTGTCAGCGTAGGCCTCAAACCACCAAATCATAGCACTCATATCATCTGACACTTCTGAGTACTAAATTATGACAGCCACGCGGTGACATTTTTTTGTAAATCTCAGAGGCAGCTATTTTTTACTTGAATGTGGTTACGGACTGGTAGGTACGCATAGAAGAAAGACGGAGGCTCGTTGTAACTCCACTGGTTGTTTTTATTGTTACACTGAACACGAAAAAAAAACTTGGAAGCTTTAGGTATAATGAAAGCAATATTCTTTATTACACAGGTCATACTTACCTTGAAATAGGAACACCAACCATTGACTCCGATTTGTTTAAAAAATGAATTTTTGCTATTAGTTTTACGGTTCTGCCAAGTTTAGATGATCACGTCGATTCAATAAATACGAAGTTTTAAGGAAGAACGATAAAGTTAATAAAAACTAACAAATTGTTAAAAATGTTGCAGACAAAAAAAAACTATTTATATTTCAAATTTAAAAAATGCTCAAATCAGGTGTGTGGCGGCATCTAATAAAAAGTAGCTCACGTTCCGGTTAGGGATTGTCTTATATTAAGAAGTCTATGTAAACATGTATAATCAGTTGCCTATGTATGTTTCGTTATAGCAATTTAATCAAAAGTCACATGCCAGTCCAGCAATGCATTGTACAGAGTGGGCCAAATTGGACACTTTTAACGGGAAACTCCTGTTTTCAAACCTGATAAATGAAAACTGATGGCTGTGTCTGAGAGTCAAATTTTATGAAAAACTTAATGGTGAAAATCGCATGATTTTCAAAAATGTGTGTTTTCGTAAAGTTGCTGTAATAACTTTTTTCCTGTCTTCAACAGTATCGAATATTCAGCTGATATCGAAGAATTATCCCATCATGTTTTTTTATTAACGCTTTATGGATGTGAGATAAACCTTTGACTAATACTGTCATATTATACTAGTGAACTAATGCAGATGCATAACGATGAGATTGGAACCTTTGGTCACTTGCTCTTTCGGTGAATTTTACTTCTGTCAGGACTCCGATTTTTTTTTAAATTCAACTCATACCTCAAAATGTTGTCAAAAGACATCTGTATCACCTTCCAATATAGTTGTTCTCAGGTGGTTCTCCCTTTTCTCTCAAAAATGTTTGCTGTATGTTCTGTAACTCCTTCTACTAGTTCTTCTGTGGCTTCCTCTGTCACTCCTAGCTCTTTCTGTTTTTTGTTCTGAATATTTTTTTACAAATTTTTTTATAGCTTCTCCTATGGATGTTTGTACTTCCAAATGAAAAAAGGCATTCGAAAGCTTTCCTGGTGACTTTGAATCAGGTAAAACAGCAGCATGCGATTTCAATTCCCCAACAGAACTAGGTAGGGCATATGCATCGTTTGTGTCCGCATCTCTTGTGGTCAGCCGCAAAAAGATGCTCTAATATAGTGTCCGACCAAAACTGGTTTTTACCACCGAAACCGAAACCGAATTTTTTTTGAATATTATTAATGATTTTTCAAAAATAGTAAACATAAAATTACTTATTTAAGTTGTTACCTAATATGATATTAGCACTCAACCGTATTTAAGAGCAATGGTTGGAATTGAAACTTCTATTCAGAGTTGCCAGGCGCGATAACCACTGCTATATGGTAGAAACGTTATACACTATGTATAATGATCCTAGTTATCATTTGTATTTGTTGTATTTGGAAGAAGTTTAAATTGTGAACTATTAAAAGTCAACAATGTTAACCCAAAAAACGTTACAAGGATTTTTGTGCCTTAATGAAATCTAAAAGTCAGCGTATCTTAAACCCAACTGTGAGAGTCGATATTTTTACACAAAATATTAAAACATAAGTTGGCTCTTTAATTGAAATCAATACGGGAGTGTTAAGAATAGTACTTAGCTATTTATATTTATCTTATATAATATATTTTTCCTTTTTTAGCATAATTTTAGCTAAATTATACAGCCTTTAGCATACTTTTGGCAAAATTTCAACAGCCGTTATTTGCTGGCAACACTGATGAACACGGAACAAATATATTGTTCCCATAGTACAAACGTCAAGTTGGTGACGTTTGTCACTGTCAAGAATAAGACCTACATAACCTTTGCAGACTGACAGTTCAGAGTCCACAGTTGATCAAAAATAGTAGAAAATAATTGTAACCCATTTTTATTTTAAAACAGATGTGCTTGTTCGCTTCTTTATCATATCTCGAAGTCATAGCAAGGGATAGTATTCGTATATTGTGACTCAGTAGTAAGAGGTATATTTAAACACTTTTTTTAACATGTAAAAGTAGACCACCATTTTCAATTACTTTTTCCCATTCATTTTGTTTTCTTTATCATTTTCAGAACGTCAGTAAGTATCATGTTGCATTTAGTGTTCAATCTAGGTTATGGGAACTATAATTAATGTTATGATATAAGTTGGACTGGCTCTAATTTTAAAAGATGCATTTGTGAACTTCAGAGGAAAACCACAAATACGATGAAGTTAAAAAATGTTGAATAATCTTGACTGTTTCAAAAGACAAAATCTTGTAAGTATAGTTTGGTTTTTACATAAATATAAATATGTTGAATGGTAGAGACAACTAGAAAGTAGCTTGAGTACATTGATTAAATTAGGTAGTTGTATTCAAAAGTATCTGCTTATCTGGGTACTGAGAGTACGAGACATTCAAAAAGAATATGTCCATGGGTTTGGTTTTCTACTTCTCCATCTTTATACAAAAATGTAGGAAACTTTCAGAGGAAGGAAGAAAGCAATTAATTTACTCTTTACTAAGATATGTAGATCATGCAAGAAATTAACTTTCTGACATAAACTGGAAAAAAGTCCTCTCGTAACAATCACTTTCATATTAACATAGAATTACACAAAAATAAAGCATAATAACAACTTTTATATGAACATTGAATTATGCAATTATAAATTTTTTCTATTCAGATTGTACTCCAAAAATTCGTCAATCTTAGGAAAGCTACACAATGTAGTATATTAAACAGTTACGATATAAAATTTCACTTGGAATCTTGTCATTCTCAAGGGCAGACTTTGAAATTTCATAATAAACCCTTGAATTGTCGGCATCTATCTGAATAACTTTACAAGATGAAGCATTCAATCCAATGTCGGCTCATTTTTCTAATACAAGGAAGTTTTATCGCAGGAGTGATGACTTTGAAGCTTTGTAGTATGTGAACACTATGTATATTTCATTAGTTCAGACTTCCATTGTCTAATATGATATAAATTGATTTGAAATCCCTGAAAGAATCTATAAAAATTTAAAAAGATTAGCTGAAAAATAACAATTATATTAAGCAAAGAAAACTGAAATTACAATGAAATAAAATACAAGCAAATACATCAAAAATTTAACTATTAACTCCAGCTGAAAATTGAAAAATATTAATAAGAAATGAAAATTAAAAATTAAAAGATTACTTCACGACGTTTCGTGTGTTAATATCCACAATTGTCTTTGGGTGATGGCAGTGGTCACCCGAAGACGATTTATTTTTCAGCTGTTATTGACAGTTCAATTTCCTATTGTTGCTTGTATTTTATTTCATTGTAATTTCAGTTTTCTGTGCTAAATATAATTGTTATTTTTCAGATAATCTTTTTAATTTTTACAGATTCTTTCAGGGATTTCAAATCAATTTATATCATATTAGACAATGGAAGTCTGAACTACTGAAATGCACCACAAAACATTGTCAACCACCTTCAAACAAACACTATGTATACTTCTTTTTCATATATTCTTATTGCCATGGTGATATAAAAAACAAGTATTGTAGAAATGTTAACAAGTAAAGTTATGAGTTAGGAATTTATCTTCCTGTTTCTTTTAAAGTATATTATAACTTCAAAATGAATTCTTTAAAAAGTGTGATGATCATGCATAGAAGTTACTTTCATATACAGACTGGAAGAAAGAGCCCTCTTGAATCAAATAATTTCATAGATAGATAGATATATTTTCACCACATTACATATATAAATACATTTATGGCATGTCAATATATTAATAGATACAATATAAAGTACACAATGAATAAAATTATACAATAAAACATATGATATTTTGAAAGTGTTACAAACATAATCAAGTGAGGCATAAATAAATAGCGTAAACAGAATGGAATATTTCAGAGAAGTGATGTGTTGAGTGCATGACTCAGTTGCTTTGTTGTGACGAGAAACTCGTCTGTGGAATAAAAGCAGTGTTCAAGAATATATTTTTTTGTGCTTTTTTTGAACTGATCAAAAGATAGTGATTTGATTCTCTCCGGCAA